TCCGACATCTCCCTTTACCCACTTTTCTGTTGTTCGTTCCCCAGGGAGGAGGTTATATGTAGATCCTTGTAATCAGTTCCCCCTTTCCACCCCACCTTCTCTCCACCCTCCTGTTTCAGCACATTTTTAATGCAGTTCTTGTGGTAAAATTAAGTGCCTCGACTGGTATTTGGGTTGGCTTATACTCGAGTATATGCGTTAGGTTAGCAGCCCAATGCTTAACCAACTGTGCCACCAGGGCTCCTTAAAAGACTAAAAACCCCAGAAAAAAATTGTAAGAGTTACTAAACAAATTCAGCAAAGCTGGAGAATACAAAATCTATACGTAAAAATGAGTTGTATTTGTAGACACTAGCACAGAAAAAATTGAAAAGGAAAGTAAGAAAACAATTCAATATTATAAAAAAAAAAATTAAGTACCTAGGGATATATTTAGTCAAGGAAGTAAATGACTGTACATTGAAAATTACATAATACAAAGAAATTAACCCCTGCCACATGCACAGAAACCTGTCAATGAGACCACTCTGATTCAAAGGGACCCTACAGGGCAGTGTAGAACTGTCTCTGTGGGCTTCTAAGCATAGAAAGCCTTATGTTTTTCCCAAGGAGTAACTGGTGGTTTGAACTGCTGACTCTGTGGCTAGCAGTCCAATGTACAACCCAAAGTGCCACTAGGGCTGCTTGAAAGAAAGAAGATTCGAATAAATGGGAAGACACTTTAGCCAATCTTCAAGTTCATAGGGAACTGCAAAAACAAAACCTGTTGCCTTCGATTCTAATTCCCGGTGACTGCATGTATAACAAGGTAGAACTGTGCCACGGGAATGTGATTAATTACTAGGAGCCTCCAATAGCCAAAACATTTTGAAAAAGAACAAAGAAGGACTTACACTTCCTGATTTCAAAATACACTACAAAGCTACAGAAACAAGACATTGTTACTCATACAAGAACAGACATATAAACTAATAGATTAGAATCTAGAAAGAAACTCGTAGATCTCTGACCAACTGATTTCCAACAAAGCTTCTCAGTCTCTTCGGTAGGGAGAAAATAGTGCTGGGACAACGAGATCTCCACGTGCAAAAGAAGGAAGCGGGAAAAATAAATAAATAAGGAAGTGGAACCCATATTTCCACCATGTACAGAAATGAACTCAAAGTGGATGATGACCTAAACATATCAACGAAACCATGAAACTCTTGGAGAAAACAGGGACAATGCTTGCCCTCCTCTTCCTTAGAAAAGTCCATCCTCCTTCTTCCTTTTTTTCCTTTTGTACCAAAACTGCTTTCTGTTACAAATGATTTATACAATGGTTTAAAGAAAATATTTATATAGAGAGCAAAAGATGTAGATTTCTCTGAGTGGACTTCAGCGCTGTGAGCTAGCTGGACTGGGCCTGGGCAGATGATAGAGGGTTTGTCTAGTTCCTCTCTCCATGACTCAGTGTCTATTCCTGGCCATTACATATTTTTAAAGGAAATTATTCTAAACAAGTTGATTGTGGCTGTTTTCAGAATATTCTAGCTTTCTTGTTAATATACTGTCACTTTGTCTGTCACTGTTTGCTCTCTTAGTATGGCTCCATCTCCTGAGTCTTGTTTATGTTGTCAGGGACCCTTGGGTCAGTTTTGACTATGTACTAAAGAACGGCGCCATGTATGACAGAATGAAATACTGACCGGTCCTGCACCACCCTCACCATTGTGATGTTAGAGTCACTTGTTAGAGTCACGGTGTCAATCCATCTCATTGAGGGATTTCCTCTTTTTGGACGGCCATCTACTTGACCAAGCATGATGTCCTTCTCCAGAACTGATCTCTCTCTATTGATCAGTATGGGAGACAGTCTCTTTATTCTCATTTTATGAAGCATTCAGGCTGTACTTCCTCCAGGACAGATTTATTTGTTCTTCTGGCAGTCCATGGGAATTTCAATCTTCTTTGCCATCACCATAATTTATACATAATTTAAATGTATAAATTCTTCTTCAGATATCTTATTTATTACCTACTTTTCACATGCATATGAAGCGA